CACAACTTTATTACATGCTTTTGATAAAAGTATAGAATAAATTACTATGCTATTTTCTGCTTCCCATCATCTGGTGACTGAAAAAAAACAGATTTTCATTATAAGCAAAGATGGATAGTAGCTAGCAGTGGAGTCTAGGATGCGCGTTTCGTCCTATTTGGGACTCGTCAGCTGGATGCAACTACATCTCAGCATTGACGTTCACTCTGGGACTCGAACCCAGTACCGTTCATTTCAAACACTATCGCGTTTTTCATTTAGCTACTGAGTCCTGATAGCCACTTGCTTGTGCAATGAGGTGAAGGTTAAATTAATTTTTTGTTATTTTACTTGTATCTTCCTATTGTTATTTAGGACCGCAACTGAGCAGTCTCATGTTGGCATATGTATATCCTGTGTTGATTGAGATGGTGGAGAAGATTTGTAGCTCAGGTGGATGATTTTGGTGGAGTTTTGTTCTCTGAGTTGGATGGTTTGGTCGTGGAGCTTTCATCGTTCTTCTGAACGACATCATCAGCACAAACTTCAGATAGAAGTGAAGTGTTCGAATTTCTCCATATGTGTTTCACAGCTTGTTCTGTGCACCTCGATGTTGATTGGTTCTTGTTGACCTTAAATTTATCATTGTTTACTTCTTTGTTTTGGTTGTGTCACTCCACCTGTGTTGATTGCCTCGATGTAGCCTTACGCCACAAGCTTTTTAAGCAAAGTACAACAACACCAAGTGGATTTAGATTTTCATTATGTTTTTTTTATGTCAAGCATATCTGTAATTTGACTAACGTTCTTAATGAAATAACATTCATTTTATTCATTTAATGATAATCATCTTAAGAACTAATGTTTACTCGTTGAGGATTAGATAGTGATCTTTTTCCAACTTAAGACTCCTTACCACTTAGCGTCTATAAATCTACCTACTATTCAGCTCGGTATTTTCAGATCATGAGTGTCAACAATCGCCTTAGCTTCTTCAATCCCCCTCCCCCATATTATATTATCCATGTTGAACTTTAAGAGATTCTTCCGAAAACTGCTCAAAACGCAAAAACGCGATAATTACTAGAAAAGTACTACTTTGATTAGTTCTTCACGAATGTTAAATGACTGTATCAATTAAATTCCCCTCAAAGAAAGAATCTAATCCTTTCCATTTTCATTATATACACAATTTGTGTTTTTTTTAAAGTGAAAATCTATTTTTAGCTAAAAATCCATCATCCATTAAGGAATTTTTTTATTATTCCATGAGTATTTTTATCCATAGATTTATTTGTCAATTATGTCTTATTCTAATATTTTCATTCTATTTTAAGTGAATGAAACAGAAATATTTCATGGACTATGGTTCTAAGAGAATCATTTAAAAGGGTTGTTTTTATGATGCTTACATTGTGTTTAACATATTTTATTTACTTACGCCTGTTGCCTTTCGTGGAGGAGCATATGCCGCCCACCAGCACTCTCCATACAACACTGTCTTGGGTAATCCTTTCCAGTTCTTTCCAGTTGCTGTTCATTTTTTTCCATGTCTGCTTCCAATTCTCGGCCCTAACCTAATACCTATCAATCAAATAATTATGAGTATAGATTATTAGTTCAGTGTTATGATGGTTAAGCGCATACTAAAAGATCTACAGCTCCACAGTTTTCTCTGTCTCGGTTGTAGATGTGAACCATTGAAACCTTGATTACTATTTGATTTTGATTGTTTGACCAGATGAAAATCAATCTGTGACTTGGATTATATTTTCGTGGTTATCTGAATTGACTAAATACAACTGATGTGTTTGTTCTTATTTTATTGTTTAAATACTCATTTGACAGTGTGTTTCAATAGGATGACATCGAATAACCAATATGACTGAAATAAAATAAGGTATACTTGGACAAATAGTTTAAACATGTCATCTTGGTTCATACTGATAGTTTAGAGACATACAAGTAATATGAATAAAATGTAGTCAACTATACGATTCAAATTATTTATTAAATAAAATACAAATTTAAAACAAACTAGTGATTGTTAAGCTGAGGTTGGTAGTAGCTAGCAGGGAAATCCAGGACACGTATTAAGTCCTGTTCGGAAATTTCCAGATAGATGTCTTGGATCCAAATGTCAGCTACCATCCAAGTCTGCTTAAAAATGTTTGTGACTTAGTGGAAATATTGAGGCAATCCTTAAAGAATGCACGTACTCGTATGCGGTCAAAGCATCAATGGAAAGATTTAAACAACCAATAAGTATAAATTAAAATGATGTTTGGTTTCATAACACTTACGCAGAGAGAAAAATAATTTTCAAAACTCAATATTGCTCTTCATTCAAACGTCTTTGTTTAAGAATGTATAAAAGTAGTATTATTCAGTTTCTGTTCCTCACTAATTGATCCAGCCTCCACTATTAAGATTGATTATGAATGCTCTTAGAGGTATAAGGACGGTTATCACTTCCCAGTTGCCCACACCGTGTAAGAGTTCTTCTGGAGTTACCTGAAAAGGAAACTAGGATAGAGGTGGTCTTAATGACCTGAGAGTGTGACGGCAGTACCAAAGGGACAATTGTATGGGACCGGTCACCCACGATCATTTTGTGAGTAGTTTTTGTGTCAGCTTCGTAATTGTTGTGAAACAGAAATCCATGGGATAAGGTTAGGTGTAAATTTGTAGTGCCGATCTTTTGTAACCCCACCCTTCCTTGCGGGAAGGCAGCATCGCTGTTAGGCTGGTTATCTGAAGGAAAGATTTGAATTGACACTTGTATCTCTGTGCTAATGTGTTATGGAAACTCGAAATGATGTACGTACGTACGAAGTTCTGACTGACTGATTGCTGAAGGTAGCACCTTACTGCAGTTACACGTTTGTACAGTCAGCAGTACGACTTCGTCCCCGGATCTTAGGTTTGGTGTTTCTAGTCTTACTGCTCTTCAGTCAACCTGTCTGGCTTGGCAGAACCTTGAGAAATGATTGTTCCAGCCAGTATAGGTCGGCTGGTTCATCAAGATAGCAGTAACGGTCGGGACCACTATTAATAGATATGATTCAATTTTTCATTAGAAGTAATAACTCACCAACATGAATCATTCAAATGATAGGGATTCTTAACAAAATTTTAACAAAGTTATTAAAGAGGAAGAATCTAACTGTAAAATCTTGGCGAATGAATTTGTAGTAAATCCAACGTTTCGCTTAGCGATCTGGTCCAAGCTTTTTCAAGGAAACACTTCCTTGAAATGTTGGATTTACTACAAATTCATTTGCCAAGATTTTACAAATACATTCTTTCTTCTTAATGTATTACATCAACTTGGCGCCCAAATCATGTGAAACTATCCATCTAAATTTATATGTAACAACATTTCAGTTTAACAATATTATGAATCGTATTACTAAGTAAGAAGAAACAAATAATTCATATCATTTTTTGTTGTACGACAATTTTCCCAATTTACAGTTTAGGTAAATCTATACTTTAATTTACACAACTAAATTAATTTGACTTTAATTCTAGTTAATAATGGTATTATTGAATAATGTTTTAAACACATATTCATTATTAGGTATTATCTCGATTATATAATGACTTACTTACGCCTGTTGCTCCTTGTGGAGAAGCATAGGCCGTTCAACAACACTCTCCATCCAACCTTATTCTGGGTAGTTGTTTCCAGTTCTTTCCACTTACTATTCATTCTTTTCATGTCTGCTTCCAATTTCTGACGTAATATGTTCTACGGCCTTCCTCTCCTCCATTTCCATTCAGGATTCCAAGTTACCACTTGTCTTTTGATATAGTTTGCAATTATATAATTAGGTTGTTTTATTGCCCGGATTTATTTACAATTATTTAATTGATTAGTTTACCTAATGTTCAGTTAGGAGTGAAATCTATATCCATATTATACATGTATATTATTATTATTATTATTATGAAGCATATGAGTTATCCATTGTTTATTGGAATGAATGAATGAACTTAATTTTTTGAATATTATCATGAATATGTTCAACTCATAGTATTCTTTGTCTTTTTTTAATATTTTCTAATGGTAGTGTATATTAAAAGTTAATCATGCATACATTCCAATACAACCTTTCACATTTTCATGCATCATTTAATCATGAATGATCCGTTATAGTGTATTAGTTAAAGAATAAGTTTAAAGTATTGAAAAGAATAGAGAGCTCAAATGCTGAAGTTCAATTTATTGTTAAACACAAAATCATATAAAATGGTTTAATAAAATATGAATATTACATCTTCATTCAGTTGTGTTTTCTTTTTATAGACTTCAATTCTGTTATTATTGAAATAATTCACTGTATCTCTTTCATGTTCAATTCTTTTCAATGTTCTCAATATTCTACTGTTAGGCAAGTTCACTTCTGATTGATGTTATATACTACTTATCTCTCTCAATATAAGTAGCATACATCATAGTATTATTTTATATGAAGTAATCATATGCATAAAGGTTTATTTTGTTAACTTTAATTTTTTTTCATCAAGACATTTAAAGTCTCAATTGAACTACTTATTTCAATGAATAGTCATGTAATGAATTACTTAATTGCTGAGTAGTCCCATACTAGGACGAACCAGCCGTCTAGTGCTTCCAGGTTTTCCTTGGTGGTCATAGCTTCAATTAACTCATGATGTTAACTATTGAAATTACTAAAATATCCACAAAAACCCCTTCTGAAATTAATAAAGTGGTTAAAGACGTTTGTTTTGTTTTAGCAAATAAAACGATAATAATAAGACACTTATAGGTTTCCGGTTATTGAAAAACAAGAAAAATTGATCGGCAATAGTAATTTTGTCATTGTTAACATGTGATCAGCTGATTTTTATTTCATGCCATTTAGCATTAACTGAGGTTTTAGTTATTTTAAGTTTTTTTCTTCAATATTTTACCACTAAACTATATGAACTTTATCAAAGAAATAACATGTACAATATCAATATTATAGTTAATAGGATAAACTGTGAGTCATATGTTGAGAACTTCGAATACTTCACTTCTACATGAAGTTTACACTGATGATGATGATGATGATGATGATGATGATGATGATGATGATGATGATGATGATGATGATGATGATGATGATGATGATGATGATGATGATGATGATGATGATGATGATGATGATGATGATGATGATGATGATGATGATGATGATGATGATGATGATGCATTTACATATGTTCATTTCGCACAATCTTTTCTATATTCTCTTGGTAGTCGTATTACGTCTTATCCATTCTATAATATTTGATACTTTTGTTCAAATATTCATTCACTTAACACTGAAATAAATTAAATTATATTTAATTTGTAAGAAGAAAACGTAGATTATTTTTTCATTATTCATTTACGAAAAACACCATCATGATTCTTGTCTTGTAAATATTGATTGTTTTAAAACGTTTACTCTCAAATGAATGTTTCTCTCTACTGAGTCTTATTGAGAAGTTCATTTATTATTAAACATTTAACTTAATTTTGAATCAGCTAAAGTTGTTTTTACCTTCTAAAATCTATATTATACCATTATTGCTTTGTATGGTTGAATATTTTTTTTCTTCAGACAATTGTTATTGACAAATTGTTCTCATGAATAACTAAGATGTAACCAAAGATCCTATTAATTACATTGAGTTTGTGAACTTTTTTCAGAATTATATTATTACATTTCATTAATTTGCCTTCAAATTTATACTTAAACATCAAGCACAATATCATAGTTAAACTTCACATAAGCTACCCTTTAGTATACCTTATTAAAGTACTTTATTGATTTAAAATGGATAACTTCACTACTCAACTAAAACTATAATTGGTTTTTAACCTTTCTTCATACTTTAGAAATTCAAATAACCCAATATATCTACAACGGATTGATGACTATATTATTCAACTTTGAATGCTGAAACATTTTCACGGTAGAGTATATCTTTCATGACATACTTTTATTGTTCATTAAAGTATTTAAAGTTTTTAAATTGAAAAGTCTCTGTTAGTTAGATAAATCGTTTAAAGTCATGTCACTAAATGTTCCTCTATTACTGTTAGCTAGACACTATAATTTGTAAAATTAGTGTGATCCGAAATAAGAATGCATGTTCGTTTTAGCGTTTTTCTAGCGAGTTATTTTTTCGGGGTGGAGTCGCTAACACCATGCTCAACCCTCGTTCTTTATCCAGGCTTGCGACCGGCAGTAGCCCCCAGAGGGACTCTAGGTGGAGTTGGAATGCATGTTCACTCATTGTATTTAATAAAGTACTTACTAAGTAATTAAAAATAGCTAATTCAACCGTAAAATTCTAATCCAGTGACTGAATCACGACATTGTCACTACCAAACATAATGTTTCAAATCTCTATCCTTCAATATACTAAAATTATACAATACTAATATGGATAAACCAACTATCCTATACATTCAAAACTTTATTAAAAACAAATATAATTTACTTGATTGGAATCATGAGTCAATTGAAGTTAGACCATCATGGAAAACCTGGAAGCATTGGACGGCCATTTCGTCCTAGTATGGGACTCCTCAGCAGTGTGCATCCACGATCCCGCATCCCGATAGATTCGAACCTAGGACCTATCAGTCTCGCCCCAAGTGCTTAACCTAGACCACTGAGTCGGCATCCAATGGTGTTATTGTTTAACTTCAACCAATCCACCAAGTTGCGCCACCGCACACCATTGTCTTCAGTGAGTTGATATCTCACAACAGATCTGGTTGAACTCCACTGATCACGGCTTCTCACTAAAACTCCAGGTGTATCTCCCAAATATCTTCCCAAATATAATTTACTCTAGATTGAGACTTTATAATTGTAAACATATTCAAGTCAAATATTAACTTATCTATAGGATGAAATAAACATTGAGAACTTCATTTCACATAGATTCTCATTTAATTATTAATTGTTTATATATCAAATTTCTTTTTCTCCTCTTTTATAATTTATTATTCATTAAGATTATGTAATATTTTATTGATTAATCATATGATTGAATGTTGTTTCCCATTTGACCTTCAACAATATTATTTAAGTAATTATTATTTTCGAATTATTTAAACAAAATCATAAATACATGAATTCAATTTATGAATAAATAATAAAGAAAGAAAAGAAAAACAAAATTATTGTTTATTTAAAACAATGAAATAAGAAATCAGTATGAAATGAAGAACATAATGGAAATGATAGAACTTAGAGATAGTATATTAATGGTATCTGTAAATTTCTACAGTATCCATTATACAATATTCAATGGATGGAAGAAATGTTCTGAAATGTTATAGATCACACATTTATTAAATATATAGTATAAAACTGGAAAATTAGTGAATTTAAAATATTAACGGTTGAAATCATGAGTCAATTGAAGCTAGGTCATCATGAAAAACCTGAAAGTACTGGATGACCATTACGTCCTATTGTGGGACTTTTCAGCAGTATGCATCCGCCGACTCAGTGGTCTAGTGGTTAAGTGATTGCGCGCGTGAATAATAAGTCCTGAGTTCGAATCTCACGGGGGGCGAGATTGTGGATGCGCACTGCTAAGGAGTCCCACAATAGGATGAAACGGCAGTCTAGTGGTTCCAGGTTTTCCATGATGGCCTCCTCCACAGTGCTCATCCACGATCACGCTCGCGGGATTCGAATACAGGAATTTCTGTCTCGCGCGCGAACGCTTAATCTACTTGTTTTTGATTAAACAAAGGAGGTTTGAATTTTCGTATGGCTATGGCCATAGTATACACCCTTTTACATTTTAGTACAACACCTTAAAAGATGGGTGAAGATCACTCTTTTTGACCTGTTTCAGTCATGTGTTAAGCTATACAGGAAGATGGACATTTGTTCTTTACTCTTATTGGGTCACTTGATTGTTTCTGTAACCATTCAGGTACATGTTCACAAACCCTAATTTTGAGATCACCGTTGCTCCTCCATATGTATGTGTGAGCATACATACATTTAAATTATTAAACACAGTAGGATATGACGCCATCGTTTTCTTGTCTTTTAGGTTTTCGATGAAGCATGATCCTTTTGTTTCCTTGATAATGACCTTTGCTGCACAATTTTTCTGTTGATAACACATGGGCTGGTTATGTATTTTGAACAATAATAATAATAATAATAATAATAATAATAATAATAATAATAATAATAATAATAGAATTTGATGAGTTTCTGTCAGGATCTGTCTCACAAATCTCAACAAGCAAGTTCAACTTTGTCTTCAAGACATATGAAAATATAATAGTTTTCATTGCAATCCAGAGCAGAACTGAGTTAGACCACCACTAAAAATCTTGGAGCTTCGGATGACCATTTCTTTTGAGTATAGGACTCTTCAGCAATGTGGATTCACGACCTTGCACACGAATGCTATACCTTTAGACTGCTGAGTCGGCACCTAATGGTGTTAATGTTTAACTTCAATGATTCAACGATTTTGCACAACCATCTTACATTGTCTTTCATGGGTAACTACATCAATAAAATTCAACAAACTCCACAACCGTTTACTGACAGTAAAGTATTTCTTTCTTAGATATTTAGAAATAGCGGAAGAGTATATAAAAGAAAGAAGGAGTTGAAGTATTTTTTTCTATGTCTAAAAAGTAATTACAAAGACTAGTTTCATTAAACATATAAGCATCATAATATTTCTGTTTGCCTAATGAATCAACTATTACATTATTCAGTCTTCAAACGTTTTCTTGGGAAGAAAAAAACGAAATCAAAAGAAATGTAACTGTTTTTATTCACCGACTGATTTTGTTTACAGAAATAGAATATAGTTGTCTTAATGAATTTTACAAGTTTTATAATATGCATTCACTGCTGCTGCTGAAGAAGAAGCTTCAATTCTATTTGGACCACCATAAAGATATTCCAATAACATGTTATTAACGGTTCTAGAGAAAAAAAACTGTTAAAAGAGAAATTCAATTACGTACACAATTTACAATGGTAAACTTTTATAGAACGAAAAGAAGTAGTTTTGTTTTACTTCAAAGTACGGTAAAGATATAAGGAAAACAAACATTAGATGAGTATTGAGGTGGTGGAGAAGATGAGTATTCTTAAATGGACAATAGAATTATTAAATAGTTATGTAATGTGAATTGATTGAATGAATACATCTCAATCATTAGATGGTAATTCCACAAGCTTTGATTATTTAAAGATGTAGAAGTTAGAGTACTCAGTTGATCATACAGATTTTCAAACTGGGCATTTATTTCCAATTCTGAGATTTGTGTTATAGGGACCGAGAAATTAAAACCAAGAGAAAGTGCTTCCTTTTCGTTAGCAGATAATGCAATGGAAGATAAATTAGTGATATACTTTTCAGGATTAACTGGGAATAAATTAACATGATTAGTAATAATACAAGATTTTTCAAGCTTTTTACCGATCCTTTCCTTTGTTTTCAAAATGACATTACTGCAAAAGTTGATGAATTTAATATGGCGGACTATAGACATTTCATTCAATACAGGCAATGCTTGAATGTGTAATTCAATGAAATTGATCAGTTTATCTTGGCAATTATCTATATGCGATTTTGACAGTCGAATGAGATTTGAAATATCCAGTTGTAATTTACTTGAACGGAAATTCTTATATAGGTGATTTGGGAATAAGTGACTCGACAAACAAGATTTATAGAAGTTCAGTTTCACGCGTTTCGATACAATTTTACATTTAAGGTCGACAAGTTCATCTAACCTTTTGGTAGTATGTGCAGGGAATCTTCCTTTACGTCCAATTTTATCAAAGTGCAGAGCACCTACACATAACCTGGCTAAATGGCCAACAAAATTGTTGGACCCTATTCAAAGACATCTATGTAAGTACCCTCTGAAGGATTCTTTTGAACTTGTTGATTATTTAGGTGATATTAATATCAAGGTAAAGACAATGTGTTCATTTGATGTAAATCCCCTGTTTACAAATGTACCTTTGAAAAAAAACTATTGATATATTATGTGATAACATATCTTTAAACAATCTCCGATCACGCGTCCCTGTAAAAATTCTTAAAGATTTACTATTATTATGTACTGACAAAATTCAGTTCATTCTTGCAGGTGAATACTTTCGCCAAATTGATGGAGTTGCTATGGGTAGTCCGTTAGGACCATTATTAGCAGATGTGTTCATGGCACATGTTGAAAATCTAGCTGATGACCTAATCGAAAACATGTCACTTTATAAGAAATGTTTGGACGATA